ATACCAATATGACATGTTTAGTTACGCTTACTTTATGTATACCAATATGTCATATATAGTAACGCTTACTTTATGTATACCAATATGACATGTTTAGTTACGCTTACTTTATGTATACCAATTGGACATATTAAGTAACGCTTTCTTTATGTATACAAATGTGACATATTTTGTAACGCTTACTTTATGTATACCAATTGGACATATTAAGTAACGCTTTCTTTATGTATACAAATGTGACATATTTTGTAACGCTTACTTTATGTATACCAATATGACATATTTGATAACGCTTACCTTTTGTATACCAATATGACATATTTAGTAACGACTACTTTATGTTTACCACTGTGACATATTCAGTAACGCTTACTTTATGTATACCAATGTGACATATTTAATAACGCTTACTTTATGTATACCAATATGACATATATAGTAACGCTTACCTTATGTGTACCAATATGACATATTTAGTAACGCTTAATTTATGTATACCAATATGACATGTTTAATTACGACTACTTTATGTTTACCACTGTGACATATTTAGTAACGCTGACTTTATGTATACCAATATGACATGTTTAATTACGACTACTTTATGTTTACCATTGTGACATATTAAGTAATGCTGACTTTATGTATACCAATATGACATGTTTAATTACGACTACTTTATGTTCACCAATGTGACATATTTAATAACGCTGACTTTATGTATACCAATATGACATGTTTAATTACGACTACTTTATGTTCACCAATGTGACATATTTAATAACGCTGACTTTATGTATACAAATATGACATGTTTAGTAACGCTTGCTTTATGTATACCAATGTGACATATTTAGTAACGCTTACTTCATGTATACCAATATGAAATCTTTAGTAACGCTTACTTTATGTATACCAATATGTCATATTTAGTTACGCTTACTTTATGTATACCAATATGACATATATAGTAACGCTTACCTTATGTGTACCAATATGACATATTTAGTAACGCTTACTTTATGTATACCGATATGACATGTTTAGTAACGCTTACTTTATGTTTACAAATATGACATATTAAGTAACGCTTACTTTATGTATACCAATATGTCATATTTAGTAACGCTTACTTGATGTATACCAATGTGACATATTTAGTCACGCTTACTTTATATATACCAATGTGACATATTTAGTCACGCTTACTTTATATATACCAATGTGACATATTTAGTCACGCTTACTTTATATATACCAATGTGACATATTTAGTCACGCTTACTTTATATATACCAATGTGACATATTTAGTCACGCTTACTTTATATATACCAATGTGACATATTTAGTCACGCTTACTTTATATATACCAATGTGACATATTTAGTCACGCTTACTTTATATATACCAATGTGACATATTTAGTCACGCTTACTTTATGTATACCAATATGGCATATTTAGTGACGCTTATTTTATGTATACCAATATGTCATATTTAGTAACGCTTATTTTATGTATACCAATATGTCATATTTAGTAACGCTTATTTTATGTATACAAATATGTCATTTTTAGTAACGCTTACTTTATGTATACCAAGGTGACATATTTAATAACGGTTACTTTATGTATACCAATATGACATGTTTAGTAACGCTTACTTTATGTATACCAATGTGACATATTTAGTAACGCTTACATTATGTTTACCAATATGAAATATTAAATAACGCTTACTTTATGTATACCAATGTGACATATTTAATAACGCTTACTTTATGTATACCAATGTGACATATTTAATAACGGTTACTTTATGTATACCAATATGTCATATTTAGTAACGACTACTTTATGTATACCAATGTGACATATTGAGTAACGCTTACATTATGTTTACCAATATGACATATTAAGTAACGCTTACTTTATGTATACCAATGTGACATATTTAGTAACGCTTACTTCATGTATACCAATATGACATATATTGTAACTCTTACTTTATGTATACCAATTTGTCATATTTAGTTACGCTTACTTTATGTATACCAATATGACATGTTTAGTATCAAAATAACAGAAATCGTATACACTATTCATTATCATAATTCATTTTCAAAATGTATCGGTCATTTTGTTATGATACCCCGTCACTCAACCTGGTGTTATGCAAGGAGTTCTTTTACAGTTATCTGCAATTATTGTTCATTTATACGTAACTACATATGACGAAAAAAAAAATCGAAGTGGGGGCCAAATGTTGACTCAACCTTTCCGGTAGCAAATTGCATGTTTTCCCTACAATGCCCTTGTTTCTTAGGGTATCATTGACGGGGTTTGAGGTTTAAAGTGTTTAATAGTAGTCTCAGTTTTACATGTATGTAGGTATATGTGTATGGACTGATATATAAATTTTAAAACACACGACACTTGAAATGATTTGAAATAAACGGATATGACAACGACAATGATAATCACACTGTTTTTACGGCCAGTAATACGATTTCGCGCGTCATGTAATCAGGAACTTATGACGAAATATACCTTTTCTATATTAAAGTGTTGTGGTAAAGATGACCTGCACGGCCGTCACCACGTGTCGACCACAAAGTACGCCGTGTTAACAAGCACCTAACAACATGGCCGCTCTGTTATACAACGTCACATCACAGGAGCTCCTCCTGTCGACATACAGACAACACTTTCATGTACGCCCTGCTTCCTTTTCAAATATGTACATACGTATATATTTAGCTTTTAAGCAATTAAAAATCTTCACTAAAATGCCCCACCGCCGATTAAAACTTGGAGAGAAGGTGAGTAACAGCTCCCTCGTAATGAAGGTCTGGTGAATTTGTTGGTTACTTGTTGAGGGGAATCGCTGGATGTGCGGTATTGAAGCTGTGGAAATGGTACGCATTTCTTTTGATACTATATATTAACACAGAAATAAGTTGTTCTAAATATCTATATTGATTATTTATTTTAGGTATATGTTTGCAATTATCTTGATGATCCAGTAAGCTTCATACATGTGAACTGATATTTTTTGATAGGGAAAGTTGTTATTTGCTATCATTAATAAAAAACAGTTAAATCAATGATTATTTAAATTTTAATTGGCGATCAACTTAATCGACGATCATTTATTTTATAATTGACGAACAGTTTAATCGACAATCATTTAATTTCAATCGACGATCAATTTAGCCAAAGGGAATATTTTATATGATGCATGATTGTGAATGAAAACAAAGTTTAATAACTGATCAATGATAAGACCAACCAATTGATATGTATCGTGTACGAAACAGTAATGATTTCAGAGGTGGAATTTTACATGGCGAACGTTAATTGGAATAACATGATGCCCGAAAATGTCTTAAAAATATGAACTTTTCTTAAATTTTGTGTTTAGGGTGGGCTATCTTTCCGTCTATTAGTGCTGTTTGGGTCGTTGACCTTAGGAAGTGCTATGATAGGAGAAATTCCCCTTCCTAACAGCCTTGAAAACTGCTTCCGGTCATTTGCAAGGCAGACTTCTGTGTCGCTGACCGTTGGTCAGGCGATAGGATACCACTGTAATCAACAGTTTATGTGGCAGCAGGCGGGTATCAATAACTGGATGAGATACAATATCACCAGCCAGGAGTACGACTGGTTCTCCAGGTTAGTAGTCAAATACCGGACATCTCTAATCATACCCAGGACACTGTACACAATTTTAATCAGTTTGAAAACTATTCATACAATGTATTCTACCTTTACTTTCTAACATTAAGTCATATCCCACCTTTGACTTTCATATCCCACCTTTGACTTTCATATCCCGTCATTGACTTTCATATCCCACCTTTGACTTTCATATCCCGTCATTGGCTTTCATATCCCACCTTTGACTTTCATATCCCGTCATTGACTTTCATATCCCACCTTTGACTTTCATATTCCGTCATTGACTTTCATATCCCACCTTTGACTTTCATATCCCACCTTTGACTTTCATATCCCGTCATTGACTTTCATATCCCGTCATTGACTTTCCAACATGCAGTCATATCCTATTAAGTGTAAGACATGATGAGTAATTGCGCAGCATGATATGCTAGTGTACGACTTAGGGTTTATTGTACGACAGGATGATATTTTCAGATGAGGTTCATAGGCGTTATGAATGCCCACTGCATTACAAGAAAATAGAACATGAACCGCATCTTAAAGCAAGCTGTTTAAAGCTTGATTATTATATAGAATGCATTATCACAATCTCAGGGCATGTTAATATATTTTATTATGACGTCACGATGGTTGGTATTGTCCAAGGAATTACACAGTAACGATGTATTTACTGCACACCAAAGTATTCGTGCAACAAAGTAATAATTGTGGTTTTAGTCAAAAGTGGTAGTTTTTACTTGTTCACAGTAAATAAGGATCATTTTAATATTGAAGTCATTTTTTATCTTGTCACAGCGTTGATATGAATAAGTATGTTTGTCCACGTCTATTTATTGTTTCCTTTCTAGCTTGCTGTATCTTCCAAATCGAGGAAAACGATATGCTAAGAAACCGGAGGTCCGTGTAAGAAAGGAGATACGGGCGCTGACAGAGCGTGAGCGAAACGACTATCATAGGGCTATACAACTACTGAAATCAGACACGGTGGGTAAAACACGCACTATATAAATATGACATTCATTAGCAGGTGACAGTGAATATTGTCAACCCGAGAAAACCATTGTCACCCTCGGCTTCGCCTCGGGTGACAATGGGTTTTTGAGGGGTGACAATATTTACCGTCACCTGCTAATGAATGTCATAGCTATTTTGTTACACCAAAAGTCTTTGTAGCTCAGAAACGGCAGCAAACCTCAATAATGACATCTTGTGTGCTGATAGTCTGCTGTTTACAATCGCTATCGCACCGGCGCTTGATAAAATTGGCTGTTGCCGTCAAACGTTCTTGTGACCATCACAGTGGGGAAACGAAGCGGTGAACGCACATTTTTCGCGCATGTGATAATTTTCTTTGTCTCATGGCAATATCACCCGCGCCCCTTAAAACCAATGTATTTTCGGAGGGTGACAGAGATTTTTTGTTTAATTTTCTCCCAACCAATCAAATAGCTAGAAATTCACTTGAGGTGTAACATTAAGTCATATACCCTCTAAAGGAGATACGGGCGCTGACAGAGCGTGAGCGAGACGACTGTCAAAGTGCTATACAACTACTGAAATCAGACACGGTGGGTATAACACACACTTAGTAATATACCCTCTACAGGAGATACGGGCGCTGACAGAGCGTGAGCGAGACGACTGTCAAAGTGCTATACAACTACTGAAATCAGACACGGTGGGTATAACACACACTTAGTAATATACCCTCTAATGGAGAAACGGGCGCTGACAGAGCGTGAGCGAGACGACTGTCATAGTGCTATACAACTTCTGAAATCAGACACGGTAGGTATAACACACACTTAGTAATATACCCTCTAAAGGAGATAGGGCGCTGACAGAGCGTGAGCAAGACGACTGTCATAGTGCTATACAACTTCTGAAATCAGACAGGGTAGGTATAACACACACTTAGTAATATACCCTCTAAAGGAGATAGGGCGCTGACAGGGCGTGAGCGAGACGACTGTCATAGTGCTATACAACTTCTGAAATCAGACACGGTAGGAATAACACACACTTAGTAATATACCCTCTAAAGGAGATAGGGCGCCGACAGAGCGTGAGCGAGACGACTGTCATAGTGCTATACAACTACTGGAATTTTAAACTATACCGTCCAGTGTCGGGATTTTCAAATTAAACTCTCAACTGACATTTAAATACTATCCTGTATCGTCGCGACATTGACATGATATATTCTTATATCATGACATTTGGATAAAACACTCTAGTGTTGTGTCTTTTAAATGATAATCTCTATTGTCATGACATTAATGAAACCATCTAGTGTCGTGATATTTCATTGATAACATCTAATGTCGTGATATTTCATTGATACCATCTAATGTCGTGAAATTTCATTGATACCATCTAGTGTGTTATTTCAATGATACCATCTAGTGTCGTGATATATCATTTATATAATCTAGTGTGTTATTGCATGGATACCATCTAGTGTCGTGATATTTCATTGATACCATCTAGTGTCGTGATATTTCATTGATACCCTCTAGTGTGTTATTTCATTGATACCATATAGTGTGTTATTTCATTGATACCATCTAGTGTCGTGATATATCATTTATATAATCTAGTGTGTTATTGCATTGATACCATCTAGTGTCGTGATATTTCATTGATACCATCTAGTGTGATATTTCACTGATACCATCTAATGTCGTGATATTTCAATGATACCATCTATTGTGTTATTTCATTGATACCCTCTAGTGTCGTGATATTTCATTGATACCCTCTAGTGTCGTGATGTTTCATTGATACCATCTAGTGTGTTATTTCATTGATACCATCTAGTGTCGAAATATATATTTTATATCATCTAGTGTGTTATTTCATTGATACCATCTACTGTCGTGATATTTCATTGATACCCTCTAGTGTGTTATTTCACTGATACCATCTAATGTCGTGATATTTCAATGATACCATCTAGTGTGTTATTTCATTGATACCCTCCAGTGTCGTGATATTTCATTGATATCCTCTAGTGTTTTTTCATTGATACCATCTAATGTGGTGATATTTCATTGATACCCTCTAGTGAAGTGATATTTCATTGATACCATCTAATGTCGTATTATTTCATTGACACCATCTGATGTCGTGATATTTTCTTGATACCCTCTAGTGTCGTGATATTTCATTGACACCATCTAATGTGGTGATATTTCATTGATACCCTCTAGTGTCGTGATATTTCATTGATACCCTCTAGTGTCGTGATGTTTCATTGATACCATCTAGTGTGTTATTTCATTGATACCCTCCAGTGTCGTGATATTTCATTGATATCCTCTAGTGTTTCTTCATTGATACCATCTAATGTGGTGATATTTCATTGATACCCTCTAGTGAAGTGATATTTCATTGATACCATCTAATGTCGTATTATTTCATTGACACCATCTGATGTCGTGATATTTTCTTGATACCCTCTAGTGTCGTGATATTTCATTGATACCCTCTAGTGTGTTATTTCATTGATACCATCTAGTGTGTTATTTCATTGATACCCTCCAGTGTCGTGATATTTCATTTATATCCTCTAGTGTTTCTTCATTGATACCATCTGATGTCGTATTATTTCATTGACACCATCTAGTGTCGTGATATTTCATTGATACCATTTAGTGTGATATTTCACTGATACCATCTAATGTCGTGATATTTCAATGATACCATCTAGTGTGTTATTTCATTGATTCCATCTAGTGTCGTATTATTTCATTGATACCATCTGATGTCGTTTTATTTCATTGACACCATCTGATGTCGTGATATTTTATTGATACCCTCCAGTGTCGTGATATTTCATTGATATCCTCTAGTGTTTCTTCATTGATACCATCTGATGTCGTATTATTTCATTGATACCATCTGATTTCGTATTAGTTCATTGACACCATCTGATGTCGTGATATTTTATTGATACCCTCTAGTGTTTTTTCATTGATCCCATCTGATGTCGTATTATTTCATTGACGCCATCTGATGTCGTGATATTTTATTGATACCCTCTAGTGTTTTTTCATTGATCCCATCTGATGTCGTATTATTTCATTGATACCATCTGCTGTCGTATTATTTCATTGACACCATCTGATGTCGTGATATTTTCTTGATACCCTCTAGTGTCGTGATATTTTGTTGATACCCTGTAGTGAAGTGATATTTCATTGACACCATCTAATGTCGTGATATTTCATTGATCCCATCTGATGTCGTATTATTTCATTGACGCCATCTGATGTCGTGATATTTTATTGATTCCCTCTAGTGTTTTTTCATTGATACCATCTGATGTCGTATTATTTCATTGACGCCATCTGATGTCGTGATATTTTATTGATACCCTCTAGTGTTTTTTCATTGATCCCATCTGATGTCGTATTATTTCATTGATACCATCTGATGCCGTATTATTTCATTGACACCATCTGATGTCGTGATATTTTCTTGATACCCTCTTGTGTCGTGATATTTCATTGACACCATCTAATGTGTTGATATTTCATTGATACCCTCTAGTGTCGTGATGTTTCATTGATACCATCTAGTGTGTTATTTCATTGATTCCATCTAGTGTCGTATTATTTCATTGATACCATCTGATGTCGTTTTATTTCATTGACACCATCTGATGTCGTGATATTTTCTTGATACCCTCTAGTGTCGTGATATTTTGTTGATACCCTGTAGTGAAGTGATATTTCATTGATACCATCTAATGTCGTGATATTTCATTGATAACATCTGATGTCGTATTATTTCATTGATACCATCTGATTTCGTATTAGTTCATTGACACCATCTGATGTCGTGATATTTTATTGATACCCTCCAGTGTCGTGATATTTCATTGATACCCTGTAGTGAAGTGATATTTCATTGACACCATCTAATGTCGTGATATTTCATTGATAACATCTGATGTCGTATTATTTCATTGATACCATCTGATTTCGTATTAGTTCATTGACACCATCTGATGTCGTGATATTTTATTGATACCCTCCAGTGTCGTGATATTTCATTGATAAACTCTAGTGTCGTGATATTTCATTGATACCATTTAGTGTGAAATATCACGACATTAGATGGTATCAGTGAAATAACACACTAGAGGGTATCAATGAAATATCACGACACTAGATGTCGTATTATTTCATTGACACCATCTGATGTCGTGATATTTTATTGATACCATCTAGTGTGATATTTCATTGATACCCTCTAGTGTCGTGATATTTTGTTGATACCCTGTAGTGAAGTGATATTTCATTGATACCATCTAATGTCGTGATATTTCATTGATACCATCTGATGTCGTATTATTTCATTGATACCATCTGATGTCGTATTATTTCATTGATACCATCTGATTTCGTATTAGTTCATTGACACCATCTGATGTTGTGATATTTTATTGATACCCTCTAGTGAAGTGCTATTTCATTGATACCATCTAATGTGGTGATATTTCATTGATACCCTCTAGTGTTTTTTCATTGATACCATCTAATGTGGTGATATTTCATTGATACCCCCTAGTCAAGTGATATTTCATTGATACCCCCTAGTCAAGTGATATTTCATTGATACCATCTAGTGTCGTATTATTTCATTGGTACCATCTGATGTATTATTTCATTGACACCATCTGATGTCGTGATATTTTATTGATACCATCTAGTGTCGTATTATTTCATTGACTCCATCTGATGTCGTATTATTTCATTGACACCATCTGATGTTGTGATATTTTATTGATTCCCTGTAGTGAAGTGATAATTCATTGATACCATCTAATGTCGTATTATTTCATTGGTACCATCTGATGTATTATTTCATTGACCCCATCTGATGTCGTGATATTTATTGATACCCTCCAGTGTCGCGATATTTCATTGATACCCTTTAGTGAAGTGATATTTTATTGATTCCCTGTAGTGAAGTGATAATTCATTGATACCATCTAATGTCGTATTATTTCCTTGACACCATCTGATGTTGTGATATTTTATTGATCCCCCCCAGTGTCGTGATATTTCATTGATACCCCCGTCTGTCGTGATATTTCACTGATACCCTCTAGTGTCGTGATCTTTTATTGATACCCTGCAGTGAAGTGATATTTCATTAATACCCTCTAGTGCCGCGATACTTGAAATAAAGTTCTACTATCCAAGTATTACTCGTATATTTCTGATCACTAAAAATAAGTATTGGAAAATATTTCCACCCATTCCATTTGAGCCACACAGTGATAACTCATAATTCTGAAGCCCGAGGACTTAAAAACATTAAAGTACCTATCTACCAAATTTGCTGGCTCTTGGGTCAGTATTTTTTCTTCCTGGTACTTTTCTTCATGTTTATCGCTAGTATAATTTAACACAGATTCAATATGTGAACGAATCCGTTCATGTATATTATCAAATAAATTGGCATCATTGGAATCGGGTATAACAATTAAAATAGCGAATCATCATAACATTTTATGTACAGAATATTTCATTAACACATTTTTCTAGTACTTGGAAAATATCATATTTGCATAGCTTCAAATAATTGGAAGAGCTGGGTGGAATGTATGTAAATACCAACACTAAGTCGATAGAATGGTTAGTATTGGTCAAGTGTTACCGGGATAGTGGTATCATGCCTCACCTACATTAACAAACTTAGCTATGGTATTGCGTACAAGTAAAACTATTCCACCACCTTGTATACTTCTTGTTCATAGTCGAGGTATTACACTTGTTGCATAGTCCTCCAGATCCAGCTAAAAGTATTTTGAAATCAAGCACTCCGACAGAAAAATAATGTCATAAGCAAATATGAAATACCAATTTAGTTTATCTATCTGGAACTCGGGTAAATTGACTAAATGGCGAGTATGATTAGTTTTACCACTCTTTTTAATAACAGAGCCGCCTTGGTCTAACTATTTATTTGCCGTGTAGTATACTTGATTAACTGTGGGGTTGGTTCAAATGAATGACCTTCACATCCAATAAAGATTATAGAGGTAAAACAAGTAATGTCAAATGCAACAAGCCAATACCATGATTTAAAGATCAAATGTTCGTCAAATTGTTTACAGTTTTTGATTTATTTATACTTTAAAGCTAGGTTATTTTTCAGAGTATTTATCCGAACAAGTACGACTCATTCACTAACCTCCACACCGGATTGACCACCATCGCGTCCCACGGGGGTCCGAACTTCCTCGGCTGGCATAGGGTTTACCTTCTCATGTGAGTACCACCATGTCGTCGGCTACTCTTACTTCGTGGTATGTTGTCTACGTTAAGTTATATTCTGTCATGACTTTTCCGTCCTTGTACTGTTTTGTCCTAAACCTTGTTAGGTTTTCCGTGCATTACCTAATCAAAGTTAAACCTAACGATACATAGAAACCTAACATGTACCCGTTGAACTACAGGTATGCTGGACAGACGGGTAATGTCCACTTGCCGCTTTCATGTGGATTTGGCTTATATGTTCACATTTTTAAACTGGAAGAAGTGTTGGTTCTACTGTGGGATGGATTACGGGGTCATTCTTAATAAAAGGACCTCAATCCTGCCTTCCGTGGTCTTTATCAGCCCTTAAATGTTCCCTAACTATGCTCTTTTGAGCTTGTTTTCCCTCCAATCATCTACACGATAGCTTTTCTGTCTTCGACCACCACCACAATCAAGGCTCTACAGTTCACACTTTCCCTGTTGCTACTCAGTCAAAGGGTAATCAATTTGTCACCCAGCTGCTGTGAAAGCAATAACCTCAGTTTGCATGAGCGCGTTTTATACATAGGTTGTTCAAAGTTCTCAGGGAGAGGGAGTGCCTGCCTCATTTGACACCATCGGCTTAGAGGCAGATATCCTACTGTATGCCATTTTTATCGTCAAAGTTAGCTCCAATAGCAAAGCTGCAGAAAGGCATTGTCATGTCTTCTGTTTAGGTCACTGTTTATGCCTTCTTATATAAAACTTGACATATACCTTCAAAACAGAAGGACATAAGAAGAACTTTGCAGCTACAGATATTCTCTTTAAAACAGGGCGTACAGATAATGCTCATTCTTCGAAGGGACGTGGATTTACACGGATAATGCTTAGCCTAATCCCAAGCAGTGCGCTGCTTCAGGCGAGTCTAAATCGTACTTAGAGGTGTAGAAAAGTTAAGAAAATGGCAGAAACTTTTTGTATACGACCAGTTCTCGACGGAGTTACGTCCATTCCATCAGACGCTTAACAGAATTAGACAATCGTTGTGGAACTTTATAGCTGTCTAAGTGATGATAACAATGGTTTAAAAGGGAATAATCAAGGAGTACGATAACCAATTTCGAGAAATGGCAGAGTCGTTTCATTCCCAGCACTTCATTTGAAACTGGAAAATACTGTATTGGCATTGTCGTAAAACAAAGGGAAATTCTGAAAGTTTTAAATTTAGATCTTGCCTTCATGAATATCTCTTGGTTCTCTGGGTAAGCCATACTTACCTTAACCCACCCGGTGAAGAAGATCACCTCATGGGGGAGCCTTTGTGAAAATGTAATTCATGTAGTGCTTCTGTCGTTTTCTTTCTTGATTCTGCACGGAAACGCTTTCATGCCAGGCCGGGGTGTAACTGGATAGTCACACCCATTCCGAGAATCTGTCCGACAATTACCTCTTGAAGGAATACAATGGACTTGACTGACAAGAAGGCAATCTTTTTGACAGTGCAGTCTTTGCGGATGACCATTCATTAACTCAAAACAATTCGACAGCTTTCGCTTGTCTGTGGAAAAAAAAGGAGCGAGTGACACCAGATAACATGTAGAAAGGTTTCTGGCCATTGCTTTGCAGAGATGCAGGGAGACGCATTCTAGTCAATCTGAATATCTAGCCTTATCTCGGGCATTGTCAGCCAATGCCAACCAAAGTCTTGAGTGGTATATGACGCTCTCTGTCTTGATTGGAACAGAATAAGTTCGTTCGCATTCCCTCAGTTCAGCCTTGTAGGCAAGGTGCTTCGACACTTTTAAGGGCTTTATTTGATTCCATATTATGATAACTCGTTGCAGCCGAGGCAATCGTGGCTTTCGGCGATGAAGTAATGTCTTCAGACGTTCTTGAGGCTACAACAGGTCCGGTCTTCTTCTCCTTGGTTCCCATTCACATCGAGAACGTATTTTTTGTGATTGGTGTAACGAAAAGCAGATTGATCTGTTCTGGTGATTGCCAATTTTCTTTTTACTTTGTTGAAAGGACGTAGCCTTGTGCAAGGAGCTACGAATGGTTGTTCTGAGATTTCGAGTGGTTGCAATGTTCTGTTTGGATACCTTTTGTTCCTAACGTTTTCCTGTAGTCCCCAAGTAGCCATCGTATTCAGATAGGAAGCTACGAAGATATCCACAGAATAGAAGAATATAAAGACACTATACAAAAAAGTAACAAACTAAAAAGACTAGCTTCAAACTATTACATTGACTTTATCATTTACTAAACTAATGATTGTAGTATGTCCCCCTGCATGTCGAATTTTATGTTCTAGGTTTGAGAATGCATTACGACAGAAGGTGCCATCTGTAACAGTTCCTTACTGGGCTTCGTCGATGGATTCAAAGATGCTGGATCCCACACAATCTATCATTTGGACTGAACGCTTCTTCGGGAACGGGAACGGATTGGTCAGAACTGGTCCCTTTGCAGACTGGATGACCAGATCTGGCCCTCTTATTCGGAATATTGGTGATTCGGGAGGGTACCTATTCCGCGACGAAGGGATTCGGAACATTTTACGGGAAACTAGAACTGCCGCCATCACTGAACCAGAAGCGGCCCCAAACAATAACATAGAGTTTCTCCATGGGCGTATCCATGACTACATTGACGGACAAATGTCGATGTTAGCGACTTCGTCCCAGGATCCTGTGTTTTTTGCACATCATGCATATGTTGACTTTATTTGGGAGGTATTCAGAGGGCAGCAGAGGCGTCTTGGGATTGATCCTCAGTCGGACTATCCCGATGTTGTCAACCATACGTTACACACAGCAACGGCTCCATTAGGGTTCGGTAATCTCCGTAATATCGACAGTTACAGTAATAATTTTATTGATGGTATATATGCATACGCACCTGTGCCGCATTGTTCGATCAGTAATAGGGACTGCGGATCGCCATACCTCCGCTGTGAGATGATCAACTCAATAGCTTCATGTGTAGCGGAGACTGGAGCCATAAAACGTCCCGATTCAGAACCGAGCGGCGCGCAACCTTCACTGGCGGTAACAGACTCCAACCCTAATACTGGCATCAACGCTCAGAGGAATGCAAACGGAAAAGTTACAGATAATGCCTGGCAACAACAACAAAATCAACAACCGAAACTAAATTTCGCAGGGAGGTTTCAGTCTGTGAATCATCCTTCTTTCTTGGGACGACGTAATCGTGTCCCTTTCACTGGACCCCTTTCACCGTCACATACAATGCTGTTTGCCAATACGGGTATGCCATTAGGACGCATAAGTGGAATGAGTGAGGGCACTGGCACAGCAAATTTTAATGGTTTTGAAATTCGTCAGACATTCAACACACAGAATATGGCAGGTTCACAGGGTTCAACAAACTCAATATCAAATCAGGATTTCGAAGGAAGATTTTTTGGGGGCATGAATCCAGATCTGCTGACCCCATTAGAGGACGGTGTCTCTAACGTTACAGTCAACCAGCAAGGAGAGCCAGGTACGTCAGACAGCCCTATCGGAAACCCTCAGTGTGCAGCTATCCCGATCAACCAGGGATATCAAAACACGTATAATTTGAACGGAAGAGCTGATATCCGTCAATGGGTTTATCTTCCGGTTAAAATAATATCACGCAGACCGCCAAATTTCCGTACTTACTCGTCTTTTCCTGTTATGGACGGGCGTGTGTCTGAGGAATCCGACATCTATTCACCGTTAGGTTACGCGATGTTGAAAGAGCGTTTCGTGTCAGGAAAATTGGCTACAAACCCAACATGTCAAAATGGAAACGCAGACTCCGGAAAGGTGTTCGTCCAATCAAATGGAATCAACTATTTAGGAAGTTATAAAGAATACGCCATTGTGGATAGACGATTAACGATATCGATAGCAACAGCATTTGTGGCTGTGAAAAGTCCAGCTGAAGGAGCAACAGATGTCATGTTGTCAGCATTTGATTCCTGTGGGAGAATGTGTATGCCATTCTGTCGTATCCCGGGGTCAACTGTAGGAGAGACTCGACCATGCTCGGGTGCCATCCGAGTGACGTCAGCATATCCAAAGCTCTATGGCATTGACTACGGGGAGGCCGTGCTAGGTACATGGTCCATGACGGGTGCGGGGGGATGTCCAACACTCGATAACGATCATGTTTTTGTGTCGTTTTACTGTGATTACGTAGAGAAGTGGCCTTTTGTGGGGACCGAAGCTCCAGGTAATACCCCTGCTACTGAATCAGTGGCAGCCATGCCGATGACCCCTAACTTACAGACGGCTACCAGGGTCGCGAACGTGCAAGATGAATCGGCTACCTCTATTGCTGGTAAGTATAAATAAAACTGTACCAACAACACTTGTTGCTTGCTTTTAATGAATCACGTGATGATACTCTCAAGTGAGTTTTTTCAATGAAGTTCTTCGTCCCCCTTACCGATCGTCATTGGGATAAATCGAATAGAAGTAACATATAACATATACAATATTGGACGCTACTTTGTTTCGTTTTATCGGGATAATCCAATATTTTGCCAACATTACACTTGGTAAATAGTATCTCCAAATGTCTCCCTAGTGTTCTGTTACATCACGCTATCTACTTTATATGTTACGGCGTAAAGCTAACGACGTCATTAAGTTTTACAACTCATACAAGCTATCTACTTTATATGTTTCGGCGTAAAGCTAACGACGTCATTAAGTTTTACAACTCATATAAGAACGCTTTATTTTCTGTACAACTAATTTTGGAAGACGTTTTTACTTATCAAGCTTATTGTTAGGCGACGTTATTATCTTACATATTGTTTTTTGTTGTTGTTGTTGTTTTGTGTAATTGGGGAATCGGCGCACATTTTAATAGATAATTACTTTTTTGTAACCACACTAGTAAATGATTTTCTCTGTGACTTATCCTAGATTACGTGTTTGAGTGTTCGGTTACATTAAACAATTACCGATCTAACCAAAATGTATTGACCTAACAAGATTCCATGTCGTTTTCAAAAGTAGTTAAAAATAAGAAATATATCCGTCTGACCCTGGCTTTAATGAAAAGCTTTTTAAAAAAAATCAATAGTATTTAATTGTTTAACTTCCTATGAAATATCCTCTTGTTTTGTTTTTACTTCTCTTTTTCCCCCTTGCAACTTTGGAATATTCGTTTATATATGGAATAAACTCTGTGTTCTAGACTGAAAATAAAATCAGTTGTTTTTTCACCTCTATTTATCCACATTACCTTATTATACTTCCTTGAACTGTATGGAATCTGTTATTTTCATGTTCACTTTGTTTATTTAAGTCTTCTAACTCAATACTTTTGATTTTCAAGATGCTGTTTTTCTTTTTTTAGGTTTATTATTATCAAAGTGTTTTGCTTTTTTGTATAATGATGTACCACCAATTTCCATTAACAATGTTTCTAAAAATAGTTAGTCATCTAATAGTACTTGTAAACTTGAATTAGAAGTATTATTGATAATTTCAGGATTACAGACAGGAAGGAAATACTGAATTTTTAAAGGTGCTCTTATTTATAAGATTCAAATAATCCTGGTCAAGCAATAAAGAATAATAAAAGGATCACTGTATATAAGGCCCTGTTTAGGCCCCGGTATACCCGGATTTTCACCTCTTTAATTTGTTCGAAGATGTCCTACTGTATCACATGCGAAAAAAAAGTAAGGTAAAAGTTTGACCGAAAGTGGGTCCAGGGGGTACCAAAAGGGGTGGGGTAAATCACAAATAAAATTTGCTGTTTTCACAATGAACTTCATCAACCAAAATAATACCAGATCTATTTTGAAAATTTGTGCAAATAAAACAGGCATATATAAAAGAATGAAATTCAATCGTCACTTAAAGATTGTTTATATAAAATGGAGGGTTAAGTCAGGGGTTCCTTTAAGTAATATTTGAATGAAAAGTGTTTTGTTTTCTCAATAATTTCCTTCTGCTTTATATTTTGAGTTGAAATTAACAACATTACGCATTTGAGTACACTTCCATAAAATGCATATTCACTACACACTTTCCTTATGTTTTATACTGTGAGTTATGGCTTCGGGACACATCTCAAACTTAGCGATTTCAAATATATCTCTATCTTAAAGATCCCCGTCTCTCGCCCAAAAGTGTAACCCATATCTTGCGGGATTTTCTTCAAGCTTTTTGGGAAACTATGAAATTTCGATTTAAAAAAAAAAAAAATCAATTGAACAAAATGAAATAAAATACACATTATTTGATGCAACAAATATAAAAATGGTTTATTAGAAATATAACACATACAAAATAATAACAATGTCAATATTGATGAAGAAAACAAAAAAACAGTAATTTTCTAACAACAACACTAAAACAAACAAAAATGCCGATTACATGAATCAATAAAATTCCGAGTGCCAATGCAACACGTTAAGGACAACGAAAAGAAAATAAAGGTGACAAAAAATAAATATCCTGCGGACTTGCTTATTCTACAAAAAAAGATAAAGATATTTTTTTTATTTTTTTTTATATTTTTTTATATACAAATATAATACAGTAGGCATTACCAACCAATTACTTCAAATATAATAACCAATATAAAACAAATTGCACATTGTGTATGAATAGCATTATAACAAACAATGTACTTCACTGTGTCATAGCAAAAATATCACAATGAACAACAATAACAAAGTTCCACATACTTTACACAACAATAATAATCGTAGCCTAGTACCGCATTCCCCACAACCTTTCGGGTCCAGGTATTCAGATAACACCGCGAGTTCAACCAATCGTCTACCCTGCGACCAGGAAAAAATGTTATTTGCGTATTCATGATCACAAGTCCTGGAGGGATCCTCATCGGACGTCGGTGTCTGCTCATCAGTCAAATTGTCAGTAGTAGGGGCCTCAATAGTCAGCCTCTCTTCAATGTGTGAACGAGTGTCACTTTGTTTCGTCGCATAGTCGTGATATAGCAGTTGATATTGGACATCGTTGTTGTTATTATTGTCAGTTAATGCCTTTAGTTTACATTTAAAACAGCCGTGTTTACGTTGGGCTTGCATGTCGGTCATGACTACCTCGACGTTGTTTACATCGTTACGACAGTTGTTTTGCCCAAACCTTCGCGATTGGAGACTTTCAATGCAAGGGACACAACTCTGTTGTCGAAACGTTATTCAAACGAAATATATTCAAGGAAAGATAACAACATTGTCGAAATGGTAATCAGGGGCAGGTGACTCTAACACTGAAAAACGACAGTGGAATCCTTTAGTGTTTTGCTCTGCCTGGGACGGGGATCCTTAAGTGAATTGAAAGTTGCAAGACACCCTTTATATGCTATAAGTGTAAGATATTAAAAGTTGATATTGTATATTATTATATAATATTTGCTCAACACCTGTGGCTGAAGTGAGTTTTGGAATACAAGAACTAAAGTGTATCTCCTTGCCTTACACCAAATATTTCCTTACAATATCAGTCTATACGACTTAGTCTAGCTTGGCGTATTCAAAGCATGACACTCTGGCTTTTGGTCAGCCTGGCATGTCATGCGTACCTCTGACTACTGTAAACACTCTACTGAGCCTGCCTAATCTACATACATTCATATAGACTGGTATTGTAAGGGAAATAGTTGGTGTGAGGCAAGGATGCATTATAGTCCTTGCATTCCAAAACACAAGAAAAAGTGTTATTTAGGTAAAAAGGCATTGTGGGATTAGTCTGAAACATTCAAAAACTAACTATCATCATATAACTAATATCTATGCCAAGTTACATGCTTATTCCATTATGCCATTTATGTATAACCAGCTCATAAACAGTGGATATGGGCAGAACAATTGATAAAGCAATGAAATGGGTTAAATTTAATGATTAAAACAGATACTTTCCTCGAAGAAAGGAGACCTAAAATTACCAGCAAATCAATATTCATATATTGAATTCAATTTCCAAAAAACAGAAATGGTATTATTTTGGTTGATTTAGCTCATTTTAAAAATAGCAAATTATATTTGTGATTTATCCTACCCGTTTTGGTACCCCCAAAACCTATTTTCGGTCAAACCTTTACCTTTCTTTCTTCTCATGTGATACAATAGGACATATTTGAACAAATTAAGGAGGTGAAAATCCGGGTATACCGGGGCCCCAAAAAGAGCCTTACAGACACTCATCCTTTCTAAGATTTTTACTTATTTAAAAATCATTAAACTTTAGAGTTATTATTGGGAAAGAATAGTCTGATCTTTAACCTAAATCTATACTTGTGTCACAAATACTTGGTAATACACTTCCAGAAACTAAATAGAAACATAACCTAGGTTTTAAAAAACAACATGTTCACCATGTTTATCGATTCATATTAGGACGCGTCTCTCTAAAGACATTAACTAATCTAAATCTCCATAATATCTTAAATTCTCGCTCCAGCGAAATAGCAATATATATCAGGGTTATACACTAAGTTGTAGTCACCACATACTATATACTTATCATTTTTAAAATCGTAAATAGTTTCCTCTTTCTTGACATAGATATATAGAGTAACCTGGACTTACTCTAATCAAAGCAGTTTTCCCCCTCATTATCTTGTAACGCTAAATATTTCCCAGTCAAATACACCCTTTCTCTCAATATCTTCACATTAAAATTGTCTTTTTTATCAAAACCATTCCACTAATCGTCCCCCGAGAATTAATAAGGAATAAAATCCTAAACCCCTTTCATTCCTCATTGTATCCTCTATGTCTGAGGCAAAACATGTGTCTTGAAGACAGATGCTACCATATTTTTTCCTCTCTTAAACATATCCTTTCGCTTTATCATGTCACCTCAACCCTGACAACTGGGAGGTACTATCTTAAATTCCATCTACCAATGTCAAACATACTTAATTAACCAGGACACCCCATGACAATGGAGTCGTACTTGTTTGGGAAAATGTTTGTTAATGAAAAGATACAGAAGATCTTAGAATCTTAAGAGAAGACGTAAACGGATAAATCTTGGTGTTGATAAATGTAAAACCTACTGGTAAAATCATACCACGTCAACAATCATCTGTTGCGTGTTTACAACTTCTATACGTTATAAACATTCTGCACCACAACACCTATCGTTACTCATCATACGTCTGGCAGAACTCTGCACCACAACACCTATCGTTACTCATCATACATATAGCAGAACTCTGCACCACAACAATTATCGTTACTCATCATACATCTAGTAGAACTCTGCATCACAACACCTATCGTTACTCATCATACATCTGGCAGAGTTCTGCCAGATGTATGATGCGTAACGATAGGTGTTGTGGTGCAGAATGTTTACAACTTCTATACGTTATAAACATTCTGCACCACAACCCCTATCGTTACTCATCATACATCTAGTAGAACTCTGCAACACAACACCTATCGTTACTCATCATTCATCTGGCAGAACTCTGCACCACAAAACCAATTGTAACTCATCATACATCTTGCAGAACTCTGCACCACACCACCTAACGTTACTCATCATACATATAGCAGAACTCTGCACCACATCAATTATCGTTACTCATCATACATCTGGCAACACTCTGCACCACAACACCTATCGTTACTTATCATACATCCGGCAGAACTCTGCACCACAACACATATCGTTACTCATCATACAGCCGGCAGAACTCTGCACCACAACACCAATCGTTACTCATCATACATCTGGCAGCACTCTGCACCACAACACCAATCGTTACTCATCATACATCTGGCAACACTCTGCACCACAACACCTATCGTTACACATCATACATCTAGCAGAACTCTGCACCACAACACCAATCGTTACTCATCATACATCTGGCAGAACTCTGCACCACAACACCAATTGTAACTCATCATACATCTGGCAGAACTCTGCACCACACCACCTATCGTTACTCATCATACATCTGGCAGAACTCTGCACCACAACACCTATCGTTAATCATCATACATCTGGCAGAACTCTGCACCACAACACCAATCGTTACTCATCATACATCTGGCAACACTCTGCACCACAACACCTATCGTTACTCATCATACATCTGGCAGAACTCATCACATCTAGCAGAACTCTGTACCACAACACCTATCGTAACTCATCATACATATAGCAGAACTCTGCACCACAACACCTATCGTTACTCATCATACATATAGCAGAACTCTGCACCACAACAACTATCGTTACTCATCATACATCTAGCAGAACTCTGCATCACAACACCTATCGTTACTCATCATACATCTGGCAGAACTCTGCACCACAACACCTATCGTTACTCATCATACATCTGGCAGAACTCTGCACCACAACACCTATCGTTACTCTGTTAAGGTGACAGAGTACATACCGTTCTAGTCATCGAAACGTCATATATTGGTTATACACTTATTGGTTGTGTAACAAGAACTTTTTATAAAACAACAAACGATTTCAATATAAACAAATAAGAAAACTAAATCAAAAATACGAAAGATGTAAAGAGATGAAGTGTGGAGACCCAGGGGACCAATGGTATTGCATTTCCTTTTACGGGCCACGGTATGTACATGCGTAATAGAAAACCTTCCAAGTGTCAAGTCAGTCGGATCATCTGTTTGTTTGACTGTATAAACAGATTAAGGTAGTTCGTATGTAATATTTGCACTATACAGTTAAAATGAAAATAAACATTTAAGCAAGAGTCTAAAATTTCAGAATGAAAATTTAAATATTGTTGATACTTGCCACATAACTTTGAAAAGTGTTTTAAAAATTACAAATATGTGACAAGTGTGTATATGAAACATGGACAAATATGAAAAGCATGGTCACATCGACATTCGTGGAGACTAATGGACAAATATTGATAACAAGGGAACTCATGCTAAATAACTTCATCTAAGGTATCAGACGAAATGAAGATAGTTGACTGTAATAAAAGCTGAGTTCACAATAAAGCGGAAAAATCGACAGAAACAAAGCAGCGTTCAATATTCTACGATCAACAAAGTATTGTTGGTCAGAAATGGCGGGAACACAATATATAGATGTTACTATAAATGGGGTGGCTCTTATGACAACCGTATAGAAGTCAGGGTGTTATTTTGTGGGAAATCTAGTGATTTTTAGAAAGGAATTTTCGGGAAAATTTACAAATATACATAGGTACTGTACATAAAAAGAGAAAATAGCAGAATGTCCTAGCAATCCGTATACAAATTTGGCAGTTAAGTTCCCATGAAAAGGACGGTGGTAAAAAAGGTCGTGGCGTATATCTGCCAAAACGTGGAAGGGCAAATCTTCTACACATGTAAGCCTATATTATTTTATGTTGCAGTTTGTCACATCGGCCAGGGCTGTGTTATACATGATTACTGTCGCCCGTGTACAGATGGCACCGTACACATGTGTCAGGGCTCCTGCTTGCTGTATGCTCAGTGTCGGGGTGGCATATACCACATACAGACGTGTAGGACCCGACAGATGTTCCACCTCCGGCCCAAAATATGCCAAACTGGATTTAGACAATGTCAAGAAGGGAAAAAAACTCCAGCAAACCTACAGATGAAAAACAACAATCCCCAGTTGATAACGAATCCTAGTCACTCCGACTAATTGCTCAGCTATACAAATACAAGTTACACGAAGAAAACAAATGTTTGTGTATGAATATGAAATAGGAAAAATATTTCGCCACAAAGACTATATTACTTCTAATTTATCAGTAAATAATGTACAAATATTGTGTATCAAAATAATAAAAATTCTCCGCAAATGCCAATAGTTTCTATGGAAAACCTTTATTTTTTATAGCCAAATTTCTACCCGAGCCAATTCTTATTCAAATATTCAAGATAGATGTTCATTGATAGAAAGATTGATTCGTGAAGAACGTTCTTATTCGACACATTTCACAATATCAAAAATACATTTGAGGGAGTGTCTAATGTCTGTGGTTTTTTACCCGCAGAGAGACTATAAAAACAAGGGAATACCGAAATGTCATTTCGAGATGTTGAATTTCGAATTCAAAATCGATAACGTTGATGAAAAATATCAACAAAGGTTAGATTTACCTGGAGACCATTGAAAAAAATACCATAAGAATATATATATAAACTTTATTTATTTCACACTATTATAAAACAAGTTATTACAGCCTATATCAATAATTTCTATCGGCATGTATTTTAGCACACGCTTGGTCTTTGAGTTTGAGGGAACCGGAGTACCCGGAGAAAACCCACGTGATCGGACAGGTGACCCCATTACTTTTCACGTCCGATCGAGGAATCGAACATTGATGAAAGGCGAGTGCGTTATTCACTGCGATCACCCGACCACCTGCGTTATTCACTGCGCCACCCGACCACCCACAAGAAAAAAATGGATGGACGGGTATCGTCTGATTCATCGGTGACTCTCGCCATGTACATCTAGGTCAATTCAGAGTAAAGTCAATCCTCATAGCAGACAACTTGGCTATTTAGAACAAAACAGAGAAACACACATATGAGCCTTATCAAAATTATTGACCTTCAAACCACACAAAGAAATAGCCTATGTCCCTATTACATCATGATGGTGATATAAAACTTGTCAATATTCTTGAACAACCTATTTTTCATTTTAGAATATTTGTTGTTCAGATCTTAGATACAAAGAAATTTTGCAACAGGCAAAGCCTTTGAGCGCCCCCTCCTTACTGTAATACACAGTTATACACATCATATTGTAGTAATGACAAAACACATGTATGTATTTAATATAAATAGCTTATTGAATGTGAATATTATTTATATGTTTCTCTCAATTGTTGGTACAGACACTAGATTACACAAACATCAGTCAAATGGTGCTGGTGGACAGTACATACTAAACATACAAGTCTGTGCTGGTATCACTCCAAACAGCAAAGTCGTGTGATGATTGATATATACATAAGGGTAATCTAGTAAAAGCGTTTAGTATCTTTAATGAACCTCTGACTTCTCCAGAATACTTGTATTCATATTGATATCGATAAAGAAAAGTATTAGAATTAAATGGAATAGTATTATCAAGAGTAGAAATGAAGTTCAGGAGAAGAGGCTTTGATTAGAAAACAGAGTATAATGGAGGAAGACGTGATCACAATCCCCAATAGGAGAAGATGCCTTGATTAGTATACAGAGTATAATGGAGGAAGAAGTGATCACAATCCCCAATAGGAGAAGGTGCTTTGATTAGTATACAGAGTATAATGGAGGAAGACGTGGTCACAATCCTCAACAGGAGAAGGTGCCTTGATTAGTATACAGAGTATAATGGAGGAAGACGTGATCACAATCCTCAACAGGAGAAGGTGCTTTGATTAGTATACAGAGTATAATGGAGGAAGACGTG